AGCTTTTACAAAATGGGATATGGAATCAGAAAAGGTTGATAGATATATGAAGAGTACTTTGTGGATGGAATTAATTATTTTAGATAGATACTGCAAAAATAATTTTCTTAAAGGGCATTCACATAAAATACAGTGTTTCATAGCACACATAAAATAGTTGATAGTACGGGGTATTTCCCACATTCGTTCTCATAAAGTATATTTCAAATTCCCAGCATACCATTATCATTATAATGGCCCACATATCATTGATAGATCGATCAAATGTGGAACACTGGTAGCTGGCAGCCGATGTAATCGAACGTGATCTCTTGCAGGCCCCACAGGCCTCAAATTAATCTATATGAGTTGCTGCCGCCACCTCGGACAAAAGGAAGAAAAAGAAGTTGCTTTAATGAAGCACATGTGTCGGCTTTTGGACAAAAGAGCGGGGACCAACTCGAAGTGTACAATTTATGATTAATCACAAGATCGATGAGAAAATTATGCTCACGACAAAAGGCCAGGCCAGAAGCGAGCATTAATCTGCATTTTCTAGGCCCCATCGAGAGATGACAAAGCGTTTATGGCGCATATAATTATTGGTTGCCGCCAAAGATCAGATGAGAAACGGAGCCTCAAGTGGCAGGAAATGCTACACAATTTGCCTTTTTCCCCTCGACCCTCGGGACCATTCATTCTTCCCCATTCGTGAGACCTGAGATAATGTCTTAAGTATCGGCGACCAAAATGTCATTAATGACAAGTGCTTATAATGACTGGTAGGACGTTTTGTGAAAAAGTCTTTCAATCCGACATGACTGGAAGCATGCATAATTTGCTTATATCCAGCCATACACTCGATCTCGGTGGCTACCGTTCCAATCGAGACCATGGGAGGCAATTACCAGCGGTGTGATTATGCGATCCGCACCATTATTAGGCCGGTATAACTTCGTCGGCTCAGTTCAAAACTGACTTCACAATCAATTACAGTCACTTTTATGTTGATTCGCTTAGGCTGCTTTTATAAAAGTCTTTCCTGTCTGCACACACTCAAAATTTGACTTGATTTATTAATACGATTGCTTAATTGTCCATGTCAATTAATTGTTAAGAGCGATTTAGAATTTGAAAGGCAGTGGTAACTCGAATTGGTCTGTTGCATTTTACTATCTGAAGATAATTTGCCTCCCTAATTACGAAATTTAATTTCATTTTTCAAGAATAAGATACATATAAAAAACATTTAAAAGCAATGAGCTGAACAAATTTATATTGAGTTAAAATAGTAAAAAAAAATGGTGTTCACATTCACATAACTTTTTATTTACTTTTCACAGAATCTAATTGAATCATTTTTAAGTTAAATAAAAACAGTTTTATTAAAGTACCTACAAAATTGATAGAAATTTGTGTTTGCATTCCAAATACGTTAGAAATTCCTCGGAAATTCCTTACTTGTTTAGCAAATAATTAAGGGACAACAAGAAAACGATCACAAATTGCCAGTCGGAGAGGATAAATAAACAGCCTGATAAATACCAACATGTGCAGACTTAACCATTAATAACTGGTAAGCTCAGCAATGTTGTTGCATTGCCAACTATTTTTGTTCACAGACAGCAGGAGCTGAAAAAAACGTTTGTAATTATAACGCAAAAAGGCCGCGACAAACTCATTTGTCCATAGTGAAAAATTCACATTACACAGGCGGCGAAGACATCGTCGCAGCCTCCAGAGATTGTTGGCATGGGGATGAGGTGAGGATTGGGTAGATGCCATTTGAGGCCCGGTCAGGATGGTGGCAAAATTGCCATGACAACAAATCAAGCATCATAATGTGTCAAGCAATGCATCAAGTGGCCCAACTGGAACGTCAAGGCAGCGACGACGGACCAAACGCATTACAACGTAATTGACGAGAATTGTCAACACTCCGGAGTCTGCGGAGGAATCGGGGATGGGGGGCAGGTGCTCCTTCTCCTCCTCCTGCTCCTCCCCTGGTTGTCCCAACACCTCGGACCCGGCCACTTACTTTATTTATCGCAATTACCGATTACAGCTAACTTTATGGCCCGGCAACCAGTTTCTTGTTCAATTGCAATTGCTGTGAACTGTCTTAACGCATTTTTTTGCGTCCGTTTGGCCCGGTGATATTTTATTGTCATCTTCGGATGTAGGTAATTCAGGAGAGATTTTTAAAAAAGCTTTATTAAGAGCCTGAAGTTTAGATATGTGGCTGTAGATAATATGAAATACATCATTTGAGGAAATAGTCAACCTTTTTTGAATGTTATCCTATATTAGGCATATTTTCATGCCTATTTCTCAATTTAAAAATAATTTAAAACATATCAAAAACATTTAAAATTTGTCAATGGATAAAATTGGTTTACTACAATGTACGGAATCAAAACAACATAGTTTTCAATTATTTTGTAGCTACAACATATTTTATTTGACAGGGCTATTTAAAATATTGTTAATAATTTGTCTTTGTCTATGTAAAATACATAAAAATGTATTTAAATTATTTTATATATTACTTGGCCAAGGCATCAAACAAAATCATTTTCGGAATATATTTATTTTAAATTTGTTCATGTTTATTTCGTAGATTGACATTAAAACTAAAGTCCAATTATAAGACCCTGTCTTCTTCAAACGAAATGCTCCTTTCCCACAATCGCGTTTAAATTTGATATTGCCAGTCAGTTTCTGTGCTGTACTTCAGTTTATGTTTCGCTTGGCAGTGACAGTTGATGGGGTCCTGTCAAATGAATATCTGTCGACAAGCCTTCAACATTGTCGTTTTCAATTTTCGGCAGGATGCGAGCGAAGGATATTTATGGTAGCGATGGTGCCGAGGGAAAAATTATCGAGCCATTTTGATCGTATTTCTTAAGCTCGTTACAGTGGAAAACAATTTTGTATGCGGCCGCAACGCATAATGAGTTGCAACGGGCCGAAGTCAATGTTAAAGTTGTCCCTTCGTTGTCTGCGGTTGTTGATCTGCTCCTGCCACTGCCGCTGCTGTTGATTATCCCTTGACAGGGCATCAAATGCGAAAACGACCGCCCAATTTACATACAATGCACATCAATCGAATGGCCACGGCAGCAGCATCGAGTACTGGCTACATCTACAGTCCTGTCACTGCCACTGGGCACCTTTGTGGCATCATCGGTTTTCCCCATCGCCTTTTTTCTTTACCCTTACCCTTGCTCTTACCCTTTCCCTTGCCCATACCCTTACTCTTATCCAGCCTTTTGGGCCTGGCAATCAAGCGTACTTGTTGTCCGACTTCAGCAACCGGCCGACCAACAACTTTAGCGGCCATGACACAAAGATTGACAGCATGTCGTCGCTGTTTGGAAGCCTGATTGACATGAGTAATCAAGCAGCCGAAATGTGCCCACAAAACGCAGCCAGCAATGACACTGACAACGCATCCAGCGGACCAAACAACGCAGGCATTCGTTTGCCCCTTTGACTGACAACGATGAGTCGACAGCAACAGCAGCAGCAACAGAAACGGCAACTTGCAACTTGCAACATCGCCGGTCTGCCGCATGTTCAGACGACCAATGCCATAAGGGCAATTTCGTTGATGAAAGGAGGGGCATTTCAGCGGGCTCAAAGGAAGCCCAGCTTATAAATGCATAGGCCCAGTTACCATAATCAGAATCAATTAAGCAATGGCTTGCTGTATAATATGATCGATACAAACTTTAAGGGATGGCTCTAAAGACGCTTTGTGTGGGAAAATCACAGAGTTAATCTTATTCTTATGACGTAATTCTTTAAGCTTTTCTAGTAAGAACTCAATTGCTATGAGATTTTGGTGAATATATTTTCTAAAAATTTGAAAACCACATATTGATTATATTATTAAAAATAAATTATAATTCGTAGCACTGGGGCAAATTTAAAGTATTTTGAATATTAACCCTATTATTATTAATTAAATTCATTTTATTAAACAGTCTTAGATTAAGAGGAAAAAGAGGATTAAAATGTATTCAGATATGAAACAATGTGCAATTCACAACTAATCTAAAATACTTAAATATTTTAATGCCACAACCAAGGACTCAAAAATCACTTATACATATCCCATTCCTTCCTTTTTCGCATTCCCATCCAATTATCACATTCCCAGCTAATTCACGCATCAAATGCAAATTGCATTTAACAATGTTCGTTTCCCTCCAACTTCCACGCCACGTAGCTCTTCTGCCAGACTTGAGCACTTTCGAAAATCCTTATCCTTTGCGGATTACAAAACAGAACCAATATCCCCATTGTCAACTCGAATGTGGCCTTTGATGAAGGCGACACGACATTGACAGACGGTAGTCGATTGACTGCTGACAGGCGAACTGGCGGGATGGCGGGGCAAAAGCCCCCAGAAAGTAGGGATCGGGATCGGAATTGGAATCGAGGAGAGAAGAGGAGCCTTTCCGATCTGGCCAAAATGAAGAAGCGGCGGAGGGAGAACTGCAAACTGCAAACTGCAATTCTGATGACTTTTTGTCAGGCCTGATTGACGTCAACGACTCAACGACGTTTGTCAGGCATATAAATCTTTTGGCTCGTTTGTTTCTTGGCTATGCCCACATATCCCAATCCAAATCCGAGTACGACTCCAAGCCGGGGGATTATAATGCCCGACAACGACAGCGATGCGATGCATAAACAATGCCACTTTAAATTGGCAATTGTTGCGACAGTAAATTTTACAATGAATTACTACACTGGCATTCTTTTCTTTCCCCTTTTTTTTTTTTTATTTTAGCAATTTTCGAATGCCCAGCTAAAAAATAAAAGGGTCGAACTGCCAGTCGAATATAATTGCATGTCTCTGGGGCGAAAGTACGACCTGAACTTGAACCGAAAATTGGGGCGTAACTAAAGACCGATTTACCAATTCTTTTTTCGAAAGTTCAAGCTATTTGGGCCTAGTATGCCGACTATAAAAAGGCAGGGTTAAAGTTGGTTTGGTACAGATCACTTCGGTTTGGTGATCAGACAATAGTAGTCCAGCTAAGATCAACTCATAAACTAGCTGCGGTACCATGGCCCAAAAGGTGAGTTCTGATTAAGGGATAAATATTTTGTAAGATATATATATCCTTAAATTTTCCTTAGTTTGTCGTCGCCTTTGCCCTGCTGACCCTTGCGGTCATTCAGGCAGTTCCTTTCCATGGCCACGAACATCATGAACATCATGGCCATGGAGGAGCCACCAGTCACGCCTCCGTGCATATAACATCCCACGGTGGCCACCACGAGGAGGGCCATCATCACGGGCACGAGGAGCATCACGGGCACGAGGATCACCACGACTCCCATGCCGAGTATGACTTCAGTTACGGGGTCAAGGATCACAAGACTGGGGATGTGAAGGCGCAGAGCGAGTCACGACATGGCCACAAGGTCACCGGACACTATGAGTTGATCGATGCCGACGGTCACAAGCGAACTGTCCACTACACCGCCGACAAGCACAAGGGATTCGAGGCGCAGGTCCATCGCGAGAAGCTCCACGGACACCAGGAGGAGCACCATGGTCATGACCACGGCCATGGACACAGCGGCTACGAGGGCGGACACGTTGAGTTCGAGGAGCACTCCTCGCACTCCGGCCACGACTACAGCCACGGACACGAAGCACATGGTCATGGTCATGGTCATGATCACGGCAGCAGCTCCCACAGCTACTCGCTGAAACAGGAGCATGGACATGGACACAGCCACGGATCGGAGCACGGACACGGCTATCATTGAGTTGTAGTTGCCCACTAAAATATCAAATTGTTTTTCTATCTCTAATTGAACACTTACCAAATACCTATTGTTGTTATACCAAAATAAATCAGGCAAATATTTTCAAAAGTGAAAGAAATGGTAGTTTTAATTAAAATGGATAAGCTTCCTAATGGGGGATAAATATAATTTTTTTATTTAAACATTTTAAATAGAATTATTAGAAAAGTTATTAGTCAATACACATACACAATACAAGTGAAACAAAACGAGAGTCCCTATAAATATATACATTTTCTTAATTTTTTTTTTAAATGTTCTGGCCTTACTTTCATTTGGCTTTTGAGGTATTTGCTCTGTCATGGAAAACCAAAGGACTATAACTGATCACCCCACTGAACTTCGACTGATTGAAAGGCTCAGGTTTAAATGTGATGTATAAACTTCACTTCATTTCTTGTATGATAATTTTATTTATATCGGCATATAAATCTTCAAAAGATATAACCAAGAACCTTACTCGATCATTTGTTATTAAATAATCTATTAATCTTTTCAAATATTTGAATAAATGGATATAATTCGCAACTCAACAGAAAACCGTAAATAGAGGATAGCAAATTCGCATGGACAGTTATTTGGGTCAGAATCAATGTGCGACGCATATAAAAATAAAATATAACATAAATTCGATGATGATAAATCACGTTCATGAGGCTTATCCATAAATTAAGCAGCATCTATTCGTTTGCTATTTCAGGTGCCTGAAAACTTGTATCATCAATTCAGGCATGCATATACTAATATATATATGCGCACATATAGCGATTTTTTATGGACGATTTCTTTTCACTTTTAGTGGTGGCAATTGGGTTTTCGGAGTTGGAAGTCTTTTATTCATCCTCGCATACCCATAAATCAAATATATCTCCCTAGCTCTCGTGAGTATGTGAGTGTTTTTTGCTTCCCCTCTTCCGAGTTGGCTACAATTTGTTTTACAGACAGGCTCGGCACATCCTTGCGTTATCCTGTTGCCCTCGTTTGTTGCTGTATTACAAATGACTGTGGAATATTTATAAGCATCATAAATTTAATTTATGTCGCCGCTGCGCCCGCCGCGTTTATTGTGCGCATAATAAACGCTCCACAAAAATCCCTTCTCGACCCAACTCGACCGGGACTCCCCATCCCTCCCCTCTCTCCCTCTTGCCACGAAGTAATTTATTATTTTTATACGTTCCATGTGTTTGTGCGGCACGCACTTTCTACATTATATAATATTCAAGATATAGTGCGAAAATTGCAGCAGCTATTACTTATATTTATTATGGCATTTTTTGCCGGATTTTCTGGTTTTATGTTGCAAATAATGATTAATCGGCGTGTCTCATATCTTTCAGTTAAACTCTTAACCAAGCACCACCAAAATAATAATAATAAATATAAAAGGCATTCCATTTTAACAAAATTAATAGTTTGAAAAGTAAATTTAGATAAATTCTTTTTCTTTTGCAAACAGAACTTTATTTGAACAAATAAATTATATAAGGTATAAAATTTAATTTACATTATTTAGTATTCAATGAAAATTATTCGTTTTGTATTTTAATTTTGTTAATCGGGGTTTTTAATCAATGCGTTAAAAATGTACATGCCCACCTAATGCAATTGAATCATAAATTCGGCTTCGGCAAAAATTAAATTGAAATTAATTAAGGTAAGCTTCAAGGGAATGTGGAGTCGCTGTTGCCTCAGATCGTAAATTCAGTTGATTACGATTTATTTGAAATAAAATCAAACCAATAAAAAACACAGATACCGAAACGCAAAACGAAATGAATTTTTAGAAAACCGAAAAACTAACCAAACGCGTTGATCAATTTGCATTGCAAATTGCTTTGTCAAGTGAGTTTTGAGCTTTAAAGCGGACCATCCGCGCATAAAAATAAAGTAAATATATATTTTATGTTTCACTTGTCGTCGTTTAATGCCATAAAAATGGGTATGTGTCTTATTAACTGATGAGGCTGTCGTTTGGACAAAAGGAAACAGAAAAATGATATCCACAAACCGGTATGGCACCAGCCAAGTCAAATCCGAGAGGAGGGCGCCCCCAATCCAATGCCCGTTACCTGACTTGGGCTATGGTGTCATTAATTTTGGAATCGTAAAGCCCACAATATGTCAAACGAGACCACACAGCGTCGTAAAATTCAATGTTTATGGCCTGCCTCTGATTCGGTATAGTAAGTTTGGCTTGACTTTTTTTAAGCTGAGCTTGCTTCGATTTTCGGTTTCGGTTTTTTGGTTTTGGTTTTGGTTTCGGTTTGGGCTTTGAATTTGTTATCAAAAGTGTCGCGTCGCTTTTAATGGCTTTTGCTTTAGGTGGCTGCCTTGTTGCGTGTTTCGGTTTTTTAAACGCTTGCCAGAAAATTAAGCGTAACTTATTTGTCAAGTTTCTGCTCGTTTTTGAGTTTTTTGCTGGGCAAACGATTTTTGAGAAACATAAATAAACTTGATTTGGTAGGAGATTGTGCCAAGTCTAATAAGCACAAAATGCCAAATCAATTATTGCTGGTGTATTTTAGTGCTAATAAAAATGGTCCTTAAAATGTAACACTTAAAGATTTATCAGATACAGAGTTTCAGATTAAGCATATTTCTTAACATTATTTTCAACTTTAAAAAACTTTTTTAAATACCATTTTAATATTCTTTTAAAGTGTTTTTTTAAGTGGTTAATACAGCTATATACTATAACATTATAAAATATTGAGCTTTAACTAGGCACATAAAACAACTATAAATATTTGAACATAATAATTTTCAATAGAAATTGACATTATTTCAAATTAGTCACAATTATAAATATTTGATTTGCCAGTGAAATCGGAAAAATGATTTTCCATGAGATCAATTGGCACGCCAAAATCCAGTTGTGCTTTATCGCCCCGGCAGCATTTGGCCAATTGCATTGCTTATTTTTGTACACACTTTACGAAATATCAATAAATATTTTGCTAATTACACCGCAGAGTGATTATTTAAGCCGACTATATGGGCTGCTGCCGGTGTTTGTTGCTGGTGCTGCTGGTCGGTCTGCCGTCAGATTGTAACAGATGCCCCATGGCATCCATAATAATGTTAAATGCTTTATAATAACCATAAATGTTTGAAATGTATGTGCCAAATGGCTTTTGGTGGCACATCCAACCACACACAGAAGTCGAGTCCAGTCCAGTCCAGTCCAGTCCGATTGGCGACTCCGCACATAACCAGTTCGAGTCCAGCTGCGTCTCTCGACAGCCGGCACAGTGAGAGGTCCCCGAATGGCAGTGGGTCTGGGTTTTTGCCATGGAAATTGTTTATGGACAGTTGTGGGGGGTGAGAGTGTTTCTGAATTTAACTGATTTTTAATGTGCGCGGCGAGACTTGTGGGCGTTGGCCAGATAGAGAGAGGCATAAGTTTGGGGTCGACATATAACGCCATTTGGTATTAGCCAATTTGCGGCAGTTTATTGGTGGAAAACGTTACGGCATGATTGGCTGCTGGCTACTGTTTAATAAACTCATTGATTTATGGCTAATTAAATTTGTTGGCCATATTAATTTATGCCAATATTCGTGGCACATGCGCAATTAAGTGAATTCCCCAATGGGTCAATGCTACATTTAAATAGCCAAATGAGCTCTCCTACTAACTGAATGAACGGATTGTAGTGCACATATATCAATGATTAATGATCAACAAATTGGGTTGACGGGTAAATGGAATTTTTCTTTATTTCGCCGAGGAGCTGACCATGAAAATTGAGAACCCGCAACGCCCCAAACTGTCAGTTATCCATCACGATTGATGGATGTGCTCGACGGTGGGGCAGTCGAGAGAGTAGAAGCTACCATCCACTCATCGTCATTGTCCGTAACCATTATCCGCAGCTCTAGCCCCGGGTCTGGATACTCGGCCTCATATATATACTCGTAAATCGTGCAAAATGATCTTCACTTCCCACCAAATAGCCCTCACTTCGCGCCGATCGCTGGGGTGTTACCCACACATAGCACCGCAGTTTTGGACTGCCTTTGCTTATCCAAAATTGTAATCAACTTAATAATAGGCTCCGCGCGCCTTAATGTTGATTAGGGGTTTTGTTTTTTGGCTTTGGATGGGGCAGCCAGATTGAATGTTGCTGGCGCACATACGCACCATAATTATGCAGGGCAGTGTAGAGTAGTTGGCTAACGGGCAAATCAGAAAGGCTGATTACTTTCGCTTTACTACTTTTAGACTGCAAGATTGCTCCTCTTGCAAAATATGTCAAGTCTCATAATTGGTTAACATTCAATAAACAGGACAAATATTAATTATTTAGCCTTTCTTGTCAAGCTTCAATAAAATTAAAAAAAAAAAAAAAAAAAAAAAACATTTTGGGGCTCTAACTTTTATTTAGTGAAGGGCACATTTTCGAGCCTCTAAAGATTATATATTTAAAAATTGAGTCGATCTAACCAATAGCAAGCTGTTCCCACAGTTTGTTAAAAAACTGTCGACTATACTAACTTACGACTATATTGAAAAATATGGACTAACATTTTATAGAAAACTACCTGGACTTCTAAGTTACCTTGCAGAAAAGTGATCAAAAACCTGCACTTCTGAGCCCAAAACTTTTCTTACAGAAATCCGATTTTAAAGTGGCATACCTCAAAGAGATTGTGGTTTTATTCTCTAAAAATCTGCATTTTCAGATTGGTTTGTATTTTTGGGTCAATTTTTGGTCATTTTAATGCTGTTACCCCTTTCCAACTTTTCGGAAAATGGCTTTTCAGAAAAGTGACCAAAAACCTTAACTTCTAAGCCCATAACTTTTCTTACAGAAATCCGATTTCAAAGTGGCATACCTCCAAATGATTGTGGTTTAATCGTCTAAAAATCTGTATTTTCACTTTATTTTTTATTTTTGGGTCGATTTTTCGTCATTTTAATGATGTCCAAATTTTCGGAAAATGGCTTTGCAGAAAAGTGACCAAAAACCTGCACTTCTAAGCTCATAACTTTTCTTACAGAAATCCGATTTCAAAGTGGGATACCTCCAAAT